CATTTAAGTTCTTAACATTTTATTTACTTTTTCCAATTGGGAGTTTCTCAATACTTTCAATTTTTTATTATCATTAACATGAAGAGATCTGCCTGCATCTTTTATTTTTAGAGCAACGAATTCTTCTTCCTTGAAGGAAGATGCATTGGTACCCTCAATTATTTTTGCCTTTAGGCCTAATCATAGGTATGTACCAACAATTGTGTTTCACTAATTCATTTAAAAAGTACTTTTCATAAGTGAATTGTGTTCGAGTGATCTTTTAAAAAAAATGCTTTTGAGCGTCAAATTACGAAAAAGGACAATTATTATTGTACTTATAATACTAAGATTATTTTAGAGAGAAAAGCTATTTCAAATTCCTATTATAAAAAGTTGATTAAATTTTTATTTTTATTAAATTAAATTGTACACATTTAAATTTTCAATCAATATTATACCTTTTTTTAATGGTTGAAATCTTTAATTGTTATTTTTTCTCTTTTCCCTGACCTTACAAAAATATTGCTATTATCTTTTTTTTTTTTTTTTGTAATTTTGTAAAATTATATTTAAAATAATATGTAAAATATAAAATAATCATATTTTATACTAAAAGTGGGAAGCCTCAAAGTTAAAAGTTGAAATACCATTTTACCCCTACACAAAATTAAAATATAATAAAATATATACTTAATTAAATAAAATAATAATAATCAATTATTATAAAGTAAATTCTTCCTATGAAATATAATAATTTGTATGTTCTAATCTTAGCCTACTACTTAATTGAAATAATTTTTAATCTTTTCATACATGTAGTCTTTTTATCTTCTTTATAAATTTTATCATTTTAAAAGTGGGGAGATATTAAGTCTAACCTTAAAAAATAAAAATAATCATAAGAAAGTATTACATTTATTTTGAAAGAAAATCAACTAAGCTTTCTTCAATTCTCTTAGTTAATTTAAATAACTTAATATAGTAGTATCTGACCTCATGAAAACGTGTATCTTTTGAAATCCAAATCAAGTTCACTTAAGTAATTATTATGTCATGCCTCGGAAAAGTCAAAGAGTTGTATTTGAAGTATGTAAATTAAATAGATACATGTACGTATTTCATCTTCCAAATTAATTTATGTTCTTAATTAATATTTGTCTTTAATTTGTTGTAACTCTTGACCTTTCAACTTTGTAAGTGAATCTTCATATTCCAAAGCTATATTTTTCCCATAAACACAAATCTTTCAATAGTATTTCCATAGAAAGATTTATATGTCATACAATGGAAGACTAGAGAAGCTTTAATCAAGTGAAGAAAATTTCAAGACAAGAGGATTTGTGTCAAAACTATAAAACATAGTGTGATTATGGGGATGAATAACACTTCAATTACTAGAATATCGGAGCTTGATGTATTTGTTTTTTACATATTTGCCGAGATTAGAACTATGATAAGACCCCTCCATTTATGTAGTTGAATGTCACTTCCGTTAACTTGTCTTCCAAGATTTTTAACTCTTTTTTTATGGTCAAAGGTTGAATGTTTATTACTATAGCTTTTTTTCGATTTGCATTATCAATAAAAGGAGATTGTCTTAGAATTTTTCTATTTTCGTTGATAGCCTTATTCTAAGCTTGCTCTTGTGATATTTTGTTTCTTTGTATTTGTAATTTCATTTCAATAATGTATATGATGGAAGGGCGTATTTTCCCTATAGAAAATAAAATAAATAGAATCGTCATAATAGTCCATAAGGCATGTAAAAACATACAATTGATGCCTAAAAGATATTCTAATTTCAAATTATTAATAATACATTTTTTGCACCTTTAATTTTAAATATTTGTAGAGAATTATTCTTATATGTGCTTGTGGATAAAATTTATATTTTTTTAGACAATATTTATTAAAATTATCATGAGATCCAAATCCCAAAGTAAAAAAAAATGATACACCAAAATGCTTAAGAAGTTAGAAGATCTTCTAACCTCTGACTAAATATTGCTCCTATTATATTCTTAACAAAAAAAGTAAAATATATTTTTAACAAACTTATTATTGTAAAAATATTAATATTATCATTTTGTCTCTTCACTAAATTAAAATATGTTTTATTTAATTAAATATTAATATTTTAATTATATAATTACAAAATTTTAATACCAACTGTTGCATTTTAATTCTTTACTTATTTCCTTCTAATTAAGTTACCTTAGTTATGAATTTTTAAATTACCTAATTACAATCTACTTAGTGAGAAGGAGAATTTCATCTTCTACAAAATACTAAATAATATTAAAATATTTTATCTTCTTCAAATGTGTAACTATTAATTTAATTTCAACATTTTTACTCTATTCTATGAAACAAGAGAGACATTTTAAGGAAGTTAATCATAAGGACTGTGCCTCTATGTTTGTTTTTGCTACTTTATTTTGTCTTTTAAAACAAATATAAAATTTATATATCAAAATTATAATAAGGGGAGACTAAATGCAAAAAAGAGTTTCTTCTTATGAGTTAACTATACACTATAAATATTTATCATTTTACTTTTCATATTTTTGTAGTAATTCAAATATAATTTTAAAAGAAATTATGTAATTTTTAATAATTCATATTCATTGTTATGGAGTACACGTGTAACACACATGTCTAGATACTAGTAACACATAAACGTAAAATAAAATATAACATTTATTATGTAAAAAAAAACTCTTAAATGAAAATTAACCAAACTTATGAGATATGTTAATTTTTAATTAATAAGAGATACATTGTAAATATGTTTAAATGAAAGGGATATTTTAGTCTTGAGAAAAATAATTTTTGTTTCTGCTTCTCTTTTTTTGAAGGAGTAGATATTATTAGCTTCTTTCCAAAAGCAGAAAAACTGCTTTTGCTTATATTTAAAAGCACTTCTACTGATTTGCCAAACACATAATTTTTCAATAAAAGTTTTCTTCTCAAAATAAGTGTGTCTGGTTTCCAATAACAATACCAAACATGCTCTTAGTTAAAAATAAATAAAAGATACATATCATGTAATCAACTAACTCTATCTCCCTCCTTTGTTCTTTAAACTCATATTTAACTTAAAGAGAGGGACACTACTGTATTTCAAAACCTGAATGTCGGTAATGAACTTAAAGAAGTAGACAAGAACTTGGAGGATCTTTGTGCAAAGGACAAGGTATAAGTTGCTGGCATTCTAATACATACAGGGGTCGTTTGGTAGAGTGTATTAGCAAAACTAATGCATGTAGTAGGTGTGTGTATTAGTAATACCTTGTTTGGTACACTTTTTTATGTCATATATAGCTAATGCAACACTATATTGTGTATTAAGTTGTGTATTACTAATACCAAGTAATTCTAGGTATTAGTAATACATAGCATTTTAACACTTGTATTGGATTATATAATTATAAAAGTACCCTCAAAGCCTTTTAAAAAAATATTTTCCATAGTACTTGTTTTAGAAACCTTTCATCTTCTCTGTACTTTGTCAATGAAAAGTCAAGAGCAGGTTTCTTCTTCCTTTTGCTCAATCAAACATTGTTTGCTCATCTTCACAAGGTTAGTACTCTTATCTTTCATTAAAATCTATATTTTTCATTATTATTTGATTTTTCTACCTCTATTTCACAATTTAAGTATAATTCTTTCTCTATCAAAATCAACGTTTAGAGTTTGCCAACCATTTTGGAATGCAATCAAAGTGTTCTGTTAATTTTAATTTAGCAAATAGTTGTGAAAAAGTCAGTCCAACATTAATAGATTTGATGATGAAATTTAAGTTTAGCTTTTTTTTAATATACTTTGAGCTCATCTATTTCACTCTTTATATGGTCGAAAATTTAGGAATTTATGCACATAGATACTTATTTAAAAGCTTTATATGTATTCATTCTTATTTTTATGGCAAATATAGGTTTTTATTATGGATCTTTCAACCATTATCAGGTATTGAATATATTATTCTTGTGGAGATATTGTTTCAACAAGTTCTTGTTCTCCTTATTTGTCTTTTCATGGCTAGTCATGGTCATTCTATAAGAAGACGATGTCGAAACAAACGTGAGGTTAGGTATCGTATGAGTGTTCGAGTCCCGAAAATCATTTCTCACTTACACTATATCATAAATGATAATGGTAGTGTATGTATCGATTCGTTAAGAATGGATAGAAATGACTTTTACACTTTAGTTCTCTTAACTAAGGATATTGGAGGTCTGGCTGATAGTAAAAGTATGTCAAGCAGCGAAAAATTAGCAATGTTTTTAAATATCTTGGCTTATCATGAGAAAAATAGATCCATCAAGGTTGATTATATTAGATCGGGATGGAGCGTAAGACTGGCTTTCAATGAATGCTTGAGTGCTATTCTCAAACTAACTCCATTGCTACTTGTTAATCCTAAACCGGTACTTGAGGATGAGATTGAAGATCGATGGAAATGGTTTGAGGTAGCTGAATTGTTGTTTAACATCTTTTAACTTATATACAAAATATATAGTTTAACAGTTTTAGAAAAATATTATATATTTTGAGATAACACTATAATTTATCTTAAAGGGTTGTTTAGGTGCACTAGACGGTACTTACATTCCCATTAGAGTTCCAATCCAACACAAACCAAGATATAGAACAAGAAAAAGAGAGATATCAACTAATGTTTTGGGAGTTTGTTATAGAAATCTCAATTTTACTTCTGTGTTACCTGGATGGGAAGGTTCAGTTGCCGATGGTCATGTATTACGAGATGTTATAGTACGAAGGAATGGTTTGAAAATTCATGAGGGTAGGCATTTTATATGCTTTAAAGTTACATAATAGAAAGAATGGTAGTAGTAACTAAATTATATGTTTATATTATACGTAACTATTATTTGTGTGACGGAGGATATACGCATGGAAAAGGATTTCTTTCACCTTATCGAGGTTATAGATATTGGTTAAAGGATTGGCGCGACGATACTACATCGCCTTGATGTAAAGAAGAGCTTTTCAACATGAGGCATGCTAGAGCTCGTAATGTAATTGAAAGGGCATTTGATTTGTTGAATGGACGTTGGGGAATTCTTAGAAGTTCTTCATGGTACTCGGTTAAGGTTCATAACAGGATCATTAGTGCTTGTTGCTTGATTCATAATTTCATTCGTAGAGAGATGGAAGTGGATCCCTTAGACATTGATATAGAAGAACAAATGGAGTATCAACACGAGAATATTGATGTTGTTGAATCTTCGGAGGAGTGGACCACTTGGAGGGATGAGTTGGCTCAATCAATGTGGAATGCAAGATTTAATAATTGACATATTGCTACATTTTGAACTATATTTTTACTTGTTACCTATAGAACCTTTTTGGACTTCATTTGCTCTTTAGAACTGGCCTAGTATAAATTTTTTAATTGCCTAAAACTTCTATTTTTTTGTGACCTTAATTGCACACCCTTATGTACTCTTCACATCTCTTTTGTTGTATGCTTTAGTTTATAGTGAATCTTATGATATTTGGTTCTTCCTGATTTTTTTGATAATCTGTCGCACAAGTTCTTACAGGCGAAATGAATAGTCAAATATCATCAAATAAGAAATAAAAAAATTGAAGCAACACAACACCCTGAACACGAAGGACATGGATTCCAGAAGAAGAACAAACTCTTTTAGACAAGCTTAAAGAGTTGTGTGCTAATGGTTGGAGAGGTGATAATGGAACCTTTAGACCAGGGTACTTGATGGAGTTAGAGCGCTATATACACAAATATTATCCTAGAAGTGGATTGAAAGGTGAACCACACATCAAAAATAAAATGAGTTATTGGAAAAGATGCTATGGAAGTATTGCTTTGTTGAAGACTCGAAGTGGTTTGGGATTTCAATATAGTGATGAAACTATAATAGTTGACGATCCAAAACATTGGATTGACTTTATAAAGGTAATTAATATATTTTTGTTATTTCATATGGTACTTTCCTTATTAGTTACTTTAATTATTCATAGTTGATGTGTCTTTGAACTACTGATCAAGTAAATTGTTATCATCACATATACAGTAGCATCCAACCTCTCTCTAGATCCTTTTACAATTAACTAATATCATATTGTTCTATTTTAGTTTTTAATTTTCTAGATTGATCCACAAGCCAAGAAAATGAATACTAAGAAATGGCCACTGTTTGAGGATTGGGAATAAATCTTTGGTAAGGATAGGGCAATAGGACAGTTCGCTGAAGGGCCGCTAGATGCTATTGAAGAGATTCAAAAGAGTCAAGCTCCACAACATTCTAATGACATGGGTTTGGGATTTCCTATTGATGCTGATCTTGATGATTATGATGAAGAAGAAAATGCTTACAATAGCTCCAAAGTTGGTACTGAAGAAGCTGAAAATGCCAGTGGACAAGGTGAATTTGCTAAAGCTGAAGATTTCACCGAACCTAGTTCATTTACTGGAGCCAAAAATGTCACTGGACCTAGCGTATTTAATGAAGGAGAAAATGTTGCTGGTTCTGAAAATGAAGATGCTGGATCCCGAAAAAGTCATAAACAAGGTGAGTATTCTAAAAGATCATCTTCTAATGTTAAGGAGAAAGAGAAAAACAAGAAAAGGAAAAAAAATAGTAGAGGATGATAGTGAGACATTTCTTAAGGGTATGATGGAAGTTATGAATAACTTTACTGAAAGTCAAGACAAAAGAATTTGTTCCTTGATTGAAAAGATGGGGGATCGTGATCAATCTGATGTTCGTGGTCAAGTTTATTCTATCCTTGAATCCCCTGTATTTGAGTTGTACACCACAGAGCAACGTATAAAAGCTGCAATGATTCTTTGTAAAGACGACAAAAAGATGGAATTATTTTTATGTATGTGTGAACATGATCGTCAGACAATGATGTGGATGGCTGTCCATGATAAATTTTGAAGTACGGTGAACTTGTGATATAAGTGGATACACTAGTTTAGTAATTTTTGCTTGAAATCACTTCAAATTGTGACAACAGTGGCATTTTTTGACACATCCGGTTATTAATGTGCGCATGAGCATGTTAAATCTTTTTGTGTAACTATGTTTTATATAGCTGTCATTACAGCTCTTCAAAATTTCGTGTAGCCATTTAATTTTGAGATTTGAAAATGTAATTATATAGCTGTCATTACAGCTCTTCAAAATCTCGTGTAGCCATTTAATTTTGAGATTTGAAAATGTAATTATATAGTTTCTATGACAGTTCTTTAATTTGTCTTGTATTTCGGTCTCTGTGTTTCATTGTTAATTTCTATGAGTTGAAGAATGTGTGTGATGGAAGAGGTGAAGAACTTCGCTTCTTTCGCCCTGCAACATACTGAATCTCCATTAGTAGGCGTGATTTTATAAAGTTTTGAGAAGTCATATGCAAAGTTATATTTGTTTCCTATAGATACAACTCTGATGAGAAATTGGCATTTGTTTGATAAAGGACAAACATGGCCGATTTCTATCTCTCTCTCTCTTTTCCTATTGATAAGTCTGGTAATCCTATGTTTCTCCGTCCATACAGTATCATGGAAATACTTCTTCACTATTTTAGCTAGTTGTACCTTATGCATTGGGGCTCCCTTTCTTAGCTGCTTGAATGTGGATTACCTTCTTCTAAAGTATTTAGCAGTGCATTTATGGATAGATATGTAAATTGATCATTGTGCATTTTAACAACCGAAGTCCAGTAAGAGCTAGTTCTCCTCTATTGCAGCAAGCAGTCTACGAATTGTATTAATGGCTTTGCTCTTACCATTTTTTTTGGGATAACCTGACTTTGCTCTTAACTATATGCAATATTTTATGCGGAAATTTTGTCAAGGAAAATGTGTACATGGCCAAGATAGTTGAGCCAAAATTGAGGCTGAGCTTAGCAAGATATGTGATCGAATTTTGAGCCTTCTTGAGTTCCATTACCTACTGTGTTTGAACCATGCATCAGTTGACCATTAGGGATTGCTCGTTTATAAATAAAAAGTTAGTTACCACTCGAAGCAGTGGCAAGTTGGGTCTGCACACTCATACAAATGTCACTTTGCATTGGATCTGTACACTCATACAAGTCTAAGAACCTGCTCGATTGAAGGATGAGCCCTTTCGCTCGATTGATATTGAGCTCTAACAATTGTTAAAAGGATCTCAAGTTGATCAAAGTCATAAGAGTCTCCTTCTCTCGTTCCCTTTCGCTTCTAATACTTAGCAGATCAAATTTTCTAAACTTGGGAATTTCGTTGGACGTATTCAATTCTTGTGAGGAAAACATATGGATAGAAGGTAAACTGAATACAATTTTTTTGAACAACTAGAACAATAGATTGTGCAGCAAACTAATTTTCCTATAACATACGCTAGCTAAGAGTAAAGCTACAATACGGTGTTTCATTGACCACTAAGGAATTGAAGTTGTTTATCTAGCTCTTTCACATAGTTAATTGCACCACTAACAATTGATGTTTGATCACCCCTTTGTACATAAGATTCAGGCATGAGAGTACGGAGACCAGAGAGGTACTCATTCATCTGTTTTCGACGATTTCGTTCAACGGCAATGTGTGTAATTCTTTGTTTCTCAATCTCTTTGTCATTCTTCTCTGTTGTTGTTGTTCTTCTTCATGGTCTAGTTGTACTACTAGACATTTTAATTGTAGAGTCCAATTGTGCCTGCTGTTCTTGTTGATCAAGAATTGTAGAATTATGATATAAACATATGAAGAATTTTGATCCCATTGATGAAATTCATTTTGGGAATCTACTAATAATAGAGCTGGCTCATTCCAATTTGAGTAGTCCTCGTACCCTTGTGGTGCGGTTACGTTTTGATTATTTGGAAGAAATTCATCAACCGCCTCATTATCGTAATAATCCCAACGAACAAGTTAATTTGAACATGTGAAGTAGTGCTTCAAAGTATGTTGCTGGTAAACTTTAGTTTGGGAAATATGGTGGCAAAAATGTGAAGAAGTTTGATATTTTCTTCTTCTTTTTTTAAGTCTTATTTCAATATAGTAACAACTATTTAATTTTATATTTGAAAAAAAAATAGGAGTAAATAATGTTTTAGCAAAGAAATCTTTTTTGTTGTTTTAGCAAAGAACCTTGTTGCAAAGGAAGTGTACAAAGAAATAAAGTGTGAAGGGTATTTTTGTAAACATATATTTTTTTAATAGAAATTATGCAAGATTTGTTATTTCTAATACATCAAACCAAATAGTGTATAATAAATAATGTAGACACTACTAATGCAAGCATTACTAATGCAAGCATTACTAATACACCCTATTTTGCATTGTTCTTATACACTCTACCAAACGACCCCACAGTGTTTCTTGCAAAATAGTCGAAGAATGAATAATGGTACTTGTTCAAATGAACTTGCACTCTTTTTATTTTTTGTAAGTAATTGATTTATTAATGACCAGAACCAAACATTACATATCAAGCACCTAACACAACATGCTTTGTTCTCAATAATACTCTCTTCTCACTACAGCTCTACTATATCCTATTGCTTAGAATTTAAACTCATTGAGTACATTTTTTATCTTAGGGGGAGCTCTAGCAATAGTCACGTAGGCTATCTCCTTGGCCACATTTTCTGCCGTTTGTCTCTTCTTCACAAAAATTATGTTGTTCCTCTCAATCCATACCCCATATACACATTCAGCAAAAATAATCTTGAAGATTTGGGTTGCTCGAGCCTTCCCTTTTCTATGTTATATGCTCCATTGTATAAACTGATCCCAATTTATTGGACTTACACTATGTTGATGAGTTCATGTGAGCAGCCTCTTCCATAAATATCTGGTAAATTGGCATTGAACGATCAGATGCTCTATAGTGTCTTCTTCATTCTGGCATAAGACACTAGTCTTGGTTACCTACACACCCCATTTAGCTAGCCTGTCTATTGTTGTCAGTTTCTTGTTGAGCATAAGCCACATAGTGAAATAGGTTTTTGGCCTTACTGCATTCTTGAACATTAGACACTTCCATTCACATCTTTGATGCTCTCCATTCATGTGCAGCTCATACTTCCTTTCTTGCTCCTTCTCTGTTGAGTCTGCTCAATTATAACCTTGGCACTCATGATTTTTCTTACCATCTAGCTGGCTTGCTTGGCTTTTGGACATGGGCTTTGACCTTCTATATAATATGTATGGATCCATCTAATCCATAATTTATCCTCTTTCTTAGCTAGGTCCCAGCATAATTATGTTAATGCAGCTCTATTCCAGACTTGCATATTAATCAGGCCCATACCTCCTGCAGATTTAGGACAACATACTCTATCC